AAATTCAATTAATTATATTACCAACTACGTGCCGCTTTGGTTTAGCAGACTTTCAACGTAGTATTATCTATAATAAATTAAAAAACTTTAGCAAGAGTCCCCAAGATCCTGCTTGTCGAGGAAATGCCATGTTTCGCGTTGTAATTTGTTAGTTAACATATACTTGGCCTATATCTATGTATTGTTTATTCGCACATCGGCTGAAAACGACATTTGATTTATCTGAATATTGCGATAAATATTATCATCAGCCTCAGTGATCTAGTGGATAAGACGCCTGTCCGGAAGGCGCAGGTGATCCAAGTTCGATCCCTGGCTGAGGTGATATTTTTCGCAACATATATTTACGGTGCGGGGGATAATAAAAGAGATTTTAATTGATATCAATAATATTAATCAAATTATTATAGAGCCAGTATAGTGAAAATAAAACAATTGTCTTAATCTAATTTAACGCAAATGGAAGTTACATAAAGTAAATATTTAAGCAGAACGAAGCTAACGCATATCGGATCTAGAGCAAATGACAATGCTAGACCTTTATGAATTAATTTTATCTGAGGATTCATTCTCAAAAGGAAACAAGCATAATCGTATAATTGGCCTCTGTAAACACCCTTGGTGATGCGAACAGTTGCGATCCGAACTATTCCATCTGCTCCGGAGTGGGTTTCTTGGACTCTTCCTATCTGCCAATGGGGATATGTTGTCTTCTATTAAAAAGACCATTTTGCCTTCCTTTATTGCGAGTCCTTGTGATTGCCACTTGTTTTTTTTGTTGAAGCTGATGCAAATATTCGCGAGACCAACGACCAACGCCAAAAATGCTGTCTCAATTGTTGTACGTACTGCCATCTTGAGAGGCGATTTATTGGAATTCCATCTAAAGACTCTTCAAGACACGCGATGAGAAGCCAATTAAGAGTGTCCTGGCATTAAGTACATGAAATCTCTTGGATCCTTGGAAGACATTAGGATAATTGGGCGAGTTTAAGATAGCCTCAATTTATATGAGAAGTTTCTAATTCTTCGAATCTCAAGTACTCTTTGATCTTTTGATCAAGAATCTTTGGTCATTTTGATCAAATATCACTTGGCCGCTTTTACTTCCTATATATCGCCATGGTGTGATGCTCTTGAAGGTATAAAATGCCATCGAATTCCTTTATTATAAACATAATTAATAACTTGTTGGGTTTTTTGATTTTGAAGGAGTTCAGTTAGATCGCTTAATTCTCGTTGGATCCCGACAAAGTTTAACCCATTAGAAAATATGTCCAAAGAACAATCTCTTCGAGCAATAAAGCACTTGAATACGTTCAAAAATGCTTCCGACGATAAGTCGACGGTGAGCTCAATATGTATGGCTTCGGTAGCCATACAAACGAAAATTGCAACGTAACACTTTGTCAATTTCGTGTTTCTTTTTACGCCTTCCTTGTGATAGAGAGGACCAGCGTAGTCAACGCCACATTTTTCAAATACCCTTGTAAGTACATTAACACGTGACTCTGGTAAATTTCCCATAATAACTGATGATGGTTTTGATGAACTTCGAAAACAAGTTTCCGGATAATTTGCTGCATCATATTTCGTGCGGAAATAAGCCAATATTTTTGTTTTATCGCTGCCAACGTAACTTGTGCTCCTGCGTGAAAGTGCCTTTTATGTTCTTGTATCACTGTGAGAAGGGATGATGACTCAGGAGTAGTATAGGATATGCTTAACGGAATAATGTAAATTTGAGGCCTTCAGACGTCCCACTCTCAAGATTCTCGAATTGTCAATGGGCTTAGCTTTAGGACTATTTTTATTCACGAAACTTTGACTAGCGACGCAAGCGCCTTAAAAAAATGAGTCTTTTGTATTAGTTTTACCAGGCATAGCATAATTTTGTTCTTTATGTATGATGAGTAGTTGAATATTACATCTCATCTGTATGAGATGTCGATAAATTCCTTGATAAATCTTTGATTTTTCTTATATTTTTTGAAAATCGCAAGATATAAGCAACAACTCGGATGAGTTTGGTTAACTCAGAGTACCGCTCGAAAATGTCAAAATTTGAATTGCTTGTTGTAGTTGTGACTATCTCCTTGGATCTTTTTTCCGGAACGTTTTCCTCAAGGATGGAAAAAGAACTCGATGGCCATCCTCTCTATCTTGCGACAACCACGGAGATGCCGCTCACCAGATGTTTAGCATCATCAAAGTTTTAGGCATAACGTCTCTTAATAGGAGATCTGCTGGATTATCCTCACTTCGTATGTGATGTCAGTATTGGATAGGAACTAGTTGTTGTATCTCTCTTATTCTGTTTTGCAACGAATGGTGTCCATGATCGACTGCAAGATTGCAGCCATGACAATACAATAGTAGAGTCTGTCCAAAGCTAAATTGAATCTATTTGGTATGGTATATATTTTGAGACCTTATCAACCAGCTGCGCTAATAATAATGCGGCGCACAAGCCTCCTTCCAGCCTCGGTAATGATACATTTTTTAATGATGCTACTCCGGACTTCGAGCAGAGTAGACACGTTGAATGTTCTCTATTCTCTGAAGTAGACCGTAAGATGCACGCGCCATAGGCTTTTACTCGCGTCAGAAAATCCATGAAGCTCCAGGTGATTATGCTGCTTAGTCATTATGGCACATCTCGGAATACTTATACTTCTTAGATCCTGCAGTTCGATTGCATATCGCTTCCATTTTATGTTGCAATTCAATGGAATGGATTCATCCCAGTCAGATTTGAGACGCCAGAGATCTTGCATAATTGATTTGGCCAACAAAGTTA